AGAGTGAAAATTTCAATAGTTACTATGTTTTATTATAAAATTTAAGACGTGCTCCATTACTTATGATCGCCACTGTAGCTTACTCGAAATAAATAATTACCTTCAAGCAACTCCAAACTAGCACCGCCACCAGTACTAACATGTGAAACTTTATCTTCAGCGCCCCACTTAGCAACGGCCGTTGCAGTATCACCACCTCCAACAATAGTCTTAGCGCCTCTTTTTGTAGCCTCGATAACTGCATCCAATACTACTTTTGTTCCTTTTGAGAATTTTTCAAATTCAAAAACTCCTGGAGGACTGTTTAAATCGTTAGCGAATAGATAAAAAATATTGTAGTAAATACGTAGATTATAAAGATAAAAAAAAAATTTTTTTTTAAAGTCTATATTATTAAATTATTTGATAACTTAATATCAAATATATGTCTATTAACGTACCCATTCCATAGAATGGTCTTCGCTTCGTAAATGGCGTTCTTAAAAATTTCATTAGTTTTTTCACCAGAATCTAGACCTAGCCATCCTTGTCGAATACCAGTCTCATCTGTAGCATAATCAGTCTATTCAAAAATCGATTAACAATTAGTTTCAATAAATATATGTACTTAAAATTAAATATAATATATATACATTGGCGTTCGCATCAAATTTATCAGCAATAACATAATCCACAGGAAATATCAATTTGACATTCAGGGATTTTGCCTTTTCAACTAATTGTTCCACGATTTTAGCACCTTCTTCATCGTAGAGCGAGTTGCCAATCTATAAAACAGTAATTATTCCGAGTAATAAAGAAAAGTTATTAAAGATTTTCCAATAAATAAAATATAAGGTTATGTAAACTTAATAAATTGGTTCTCATAACTATATTTGCTATCCGGGTAGGATTTTTTTTTTAGATGTTTATAAAAAAATTTATATAATTTTATATATAATTTTTTTGAAAATAAATTAAAAGTCGGGTTGTCAAGTAATTTCTTAAAATTTTACGTTATGAGAACCAAAAATTAACTATGGCCTAAAATTGAAGGTAGTGAAATGTAGCTATTGAATAGATACCTCGATCTTTTCGATAACCTTTTTGAAGGTGAAAACCATACCGCCTGAGAAATAATAGAAACATTAACAAAACAATTAAAAAATATGTACTAATGTTGTAATAAAAAATAAATACCTTACC